ACTAGGATGGTTCGCGATTTCAACAGCCGTAACAGACACAAGGTAAGGGGTAAAGCGGCCCGTAACGCGACCGCAGACGGACGCCGGTTGGACAACTGGAGGTAACTGGCGGGCCAAAAAGGAACGGGCAAAGGTACTTTTGGTGTGAAAGCGGTATTTGATTTGGTTTGCCTTTGTTCCAGGATGATGAAGATTTTTTGTAAAAAAAGTCAAAAAAATATGTGAAAAAAAGCTCCTGGAGTTCTCAGAAAATATCCGGGCATAATAAATCTAAATCCTTAGAAAAGTCCCAAACGGTACCCAAATCTGAAAAAATCCTGAAAAAAATCAGAAATTAATGAGAACAAATCTAAATTATGAAAAGAGGACAAGTCAGAAAAAAAAGTCTGAAATCTCAGAAAAATGTTAATATCTGGGGAAAAAATCTACATTCCCTAAAAGGGTTCAAAAATATGAAAAGAATATGAGAACAAATAGAAGAATAAAATATATATATACCAAATATTGTATCCGCAGGAACCAAACCTGGCTGCTTGGGCCTCCCTCAGTTTGCGTTTCAGAGCAGTCAGGATTCTCTTGCACTCCCAGAGGCTCCTCTTTGGACAAGTCCTTCAACCACCGCCTGCAGTCCCCGGTCAAGCAGTTCAGCAGGAACTCTAGAATAACAAACATATTTTATATTCAGTTGTCACTCCGAGCAACTTAAATGATTGCAGAATAAAAAAAGAGCGAAATTGTCTTAAGTAACAGCAATAGCTGGCAAACTGAATTTAAAATGACGTCAACGTCTATGCACAAACCTTAAAAGTTTCCCCACTTTTATACTATGGTTTTTCATTCATATATTAGTAGTTCTCAGATATATACATAACATGTCTCTGAAGTGTTTGGTTCCAAACACCAAACAGATCATTAGCCAGCATTAAACCCCATAATCCCACTCTGTTTCAGCCCTGTTTCCAAAGTGCTGATTCTCTGTCTGTTACTTTAGATGTAATAATGAGCCCCTCCCACCCACCCCCTCTGGAGAGAAGATTTGGTTACAAAGAACACAATGGTGCTCTAGGAGGTAGATTCCAGGTGATAAGGTGGGGGAGGGGAGGGGGTTACCTTGGTTGCTGATATGGCTAATGGTTACACAAGGGCCAACAATGACATCATAAGGTGTGCCAAAATCCTGATCAGCTCAATTTTCAGACAGGTTTTTATAGAAATGGATCAGGACCAAAAGAGAGAGAATCTTTTTTCCAGAAACTTTCAGAATCTCTTTCCACAGAGGGGACACATTTTGATGTATGAAAGACATGAAGAAGTGGATTTTTCATGATAGGTGACCTTTACACATGCATGTCTTTTCCCATGCATTATTTAAAGGCAGACATTCACTAGAAGGAAATCAAATAAGGATACAGATTGAGTTTGTCTTTAGGACTGCCTTTCACAAAATCCCTCATGTAAAGTTGAAGATGGCAGCAGCAGGTGATGCATCTCCACTTTTTGTTTATTTTGCACGATCTGGCATATATACAGTATATTAAAGGACAGGAACTTCTGGCACATGGAGATAAAATATGAAGTCCTGGTACACTGAGTAACAGAGGCAAAGATAAAGCACTGCAACAGAAGCAGCTTACTTTGCTAAATTCCTAAATCTACTGTGTCAGACTTTAATCCCTAAAAATAGTGTGTTGCTTAAGGACTCTTTAGGCAAGTTGCAGCTTCTCAACGCACAAGTTCATGTTTTTAAAAAGTTTGTTTTATCCAAACAAATACTTAAAAACATATTCGAATCACAATAAAAACACAGTGTAAAAAGTGTGAAGCCTGTTTCCTGTCCAGTCTCTGGCTCCAGCTTCATTCTAATCAGATAGAGAGTGGTATCTATCACTGATCAATATTGTATATGTTAAAATGTATAATTTGATATATTATGTGTATATATATATAATAATCCGTTGTTAGTATTATTATATCATTTATTTAAACCAGCCGTTGTAAAATTGACGTCACAGCTGACAGCAGCTGCTTGTAATTAGAAGGAGAAAAGAATCTCGGAGCAATATCGTTTTTTGACCTTTGAAAATAAGTGTTTGTATTGATATCTTTTGTAAATAAGTCTCTTTCCTGAGACGTATTTTTGTTGGAGTCAAGCTTATTGCTACTTGTGGATATATACACTTTTGGATTAGACGGAACTACAAATATGTTGAACCATTTGGCTGCAGAGAGCCTCACCTGTCGTCGGATCTCCTCCTTGACGCTCTCCTGGGTCTCGGGCAGCGCCGGCATGGTGGCCATGTTGGACCAGCGGAGCGGCCGCACCACCGGCTTCAGGACCACGTCTCCAAACAGCTCCCTCACGTGTGTGAAGAACATGTAGAGAACACGGTTCCCGATCTGAACGCAAGGTAAACAAATAAGTAAACACCTGGCACACACTCTGTACACACACACACACACACACTCTGTACACACACACACACACACACTCTGTAGACACACACAGCATTTAGTCTCGCAGTGTGTGATGTGGTTTGTATGATGTTTGTCAGACTGCAGTAAAACTAAATATATATATTCTCTACCGCACACATTCCTGCATATTGACAGATTTAATTGAACCCGGACTAATTCATGAAGAGAAGTGTTTGTTTAACAGTGGAGTTGATCCTGCTGCTGTTAGTTCAGAATAAGTGGAGCAGCCACAGAGTGTCCCCTTTGGGAATAAATCAGACTCACTAAACTAGGCCAGCGTTTTAAAGATGAACCGGCTGTTTGATCCAATAAAAGCTCAGTCGGTTAGTTGCTAAGGGGATGTTTCTTATCCTGGAAGTACACTTGAGCATGGTCTACTTTCATTTTGATGGTTAGTTTGCCTGTTGCTGTTGAATTTCTGCTTTCTGCAACATGTGTGTGATCTATTCATCCTCTCTGACCTGTATGGTTGGGTTGAGGACGATGGAGATGTTCTGAATATTCATCTTGGTGTCCAGCTCCCGGGTGATGACGTGGTCCATGTGCGTGACGAGCCAGGAGAGGAGAAGTCGGCTCTGCGGCGACACTTCGGCCAGCAGCCTGTGAAACTCCGCCATCTTCTCGGCCTCCACCTGCCGACCGCACGCGTCCTCGAAGCGCTGCGCCAGCTCCCGACCCAACAGGTTCTCCGGCAGCTCGCGCAGGTACTGCTTCAGGAGGCTGGCCACCGTGTGCGGGTCGTACTCCTCCAGGCAGGGGCACTCCTCCCGGTCGTACGCTGCTTTCAACTCATCCACCTTGGACTTCATACCTGAGAGCGAGAGAGGTCGATGTGAGATTCAGTCCAATGTTGAGGTATGTTCGTCATCGGGGATTAAAGCAAAACATTGTCTAGCTTTGGGGTTTTAAAGCACGTGTTAAATGTGGAGTTACAGTGAAGTGGGGATTTAACCTAAACTTTATTTAAGTACTCAAGACCGTTACGGCCCGTCCACACAGCAGCGTTAAAAAAATCTTCCAACGCTTTTCTGCCCATTCACTTTGAATGGGGTGACGTCACGTTGCCTCGCTTTTCGCCGAACTGCATTGTGGGGAAGCAAAGCGAAGATTTCCAGGATTTTCAGGATTCAAAAGTTGAGCAATGTTCAACTTTTGAGGTGGAACCGTCACCAATCAAATCCCGTTTATGCAAAATCTGCAGCTAACAAGCGCTAGCCAATCAAACCGCGGTGTAAGCCTGGGAGAGACATTTCCTCATAATTCCAAAACAAGAAATGACGGTAGCACAATCACCGGGTTCTTTACGACCAGTAACTATTTACCGGGATACAAACCGAGGAACCCAGGCAGGAGGGAGGCTGTGCCAGAGACAGTGGGTGAAACTGGTACGGTTTTTTGCTTTGTATGTCGGAGGCGGGAGATATTCATGTGATTGGTTGTGTGGTCGCAAAAAAATCCCCAAGCTTCAGACACGCCCACCTCCAGAGATTTTCCAAGACTTTTTTAACGCTGCTGTGTGGACGGGCCGTTAGTGTTTTAAGAAAGATACTTTTGAAGAGCTTTTTATTTGTAAGTTTGTCTTAACCTCAATTTCAGTGGCAGTCTTTAATCTTATTAAATAAAACTGAATACCAACGTTTTTTTTTGCAAAGCTTGACTGAGTTTTAAGTTTAAATAGTCAATGATTCTTCATAACCTTACATTGGTTTTGAATTTATTAGCAAAAATACAAAAAATAAAAACAAATTCTTTTAATTTTTCATAGTTAGTGAACCTCCATGATAATTTGCATTTTGGTTCATTGACTGTCCCGATTACATTTCAAGAAGTCTACAAGGAAATAAATACGGTGAGCACATGCAGTGCCGAGAATAATGGTTTAACATCATCAATGAATTATTTATGATTATGTATTGATACACCAATTAAGCTGCTTCTCGCCTGTGGCGATTATTAGTAAGTCTACATAGCTGACACACTTCTCACTTTTCCCCCCTTGGATTTAAATCCCTGAGTTATCCCTTTTTGCAAATCCCACATCTCAAAGAGGTGTTTACCTGAAACTCTGTAGATGGCCTTCACACTTCATGCCGTAAACTCTCGATGTAGTCCACACACTCCTCTGAAGACGGAGCGGGCAGCTGGAGGCCGGTCGTACAGAGCCGTTCCTCTTGCACGGCTTCAGCGAGAGGCGTCCAAAGATGGGCCTGAAGGTGGGGACCTTTCCCACCGGGACGGGCTCTGCCTCTGTTGTCGGTTTCTTCTTCTTCTTCTTCTCCTTCCATTGGTTTAACCACGTCGGCTGCCTGTCAGATCCTTGTGATTTCTTATCTTTGGCGGCTTTGTCTTCCTTCGGCGCCCTTTTCCTTCTCCTTCTCTCTTTCTCTTTCTCCTTTTCATTCTCTCTTTCCTTCTCCTTCACCTGGAATTCCTTCTCCTTCTTTCTTGGAGAAGCTGGTTTCTTGAACACGTGGATTCCCTTGGAGCGCTTCATCTTGACGGGCTCTCTGCTTCGTCGGGCCGAACTGTCCCTCCTGGAAGGCCGGCGTAGCCTCCGCTAAGAGAGTAAAGAAAAGAGTGGGGACAAACAAAATAGGGTTAGATCTGAGGGGGAGAAACCCCCCGTTTTCTTATCCTCCTCCGTACGGTAGAACCAATGATAGCAGTGAGACAGAAACAGGAAGGGAGACGAAGTGAGAGCAGAGAAGATAACAAAGGAGGGGGAGAACGGGGACTTGGAAAAAGAGGTCAGACACAGATTTAGCAATTACTCCCCACAGCACCTTTTTGCCTCATCAAATGTGGAAAATGAACATTTGAGATATATAAGTTCATGTTTTTTATGTAAATCAGGGTTCGTACACTTTTTGCCCAATGATTTTCAATGGGACTTCTCCATTGACGTTTACCTCCATTGTTTCATGACTAAAAATAT